TTTCAGAATGAGCTATTCAAAATGCAATTCTGACCTTATGATTTCCTGGCTTACTCATAGAACACCTTAGGAAGAGATACTAAACAAAACAAAAACACTACAGGTTAGACCTTGCTTACTTCTCTGGTCTATTCTGTTCATTCTGTCCTCACCAACCTTTGCATTTTATGCTACAGTTCTTGTAAATGTTTTGGTTTTTAACCACCTATCAAGCTACCTTTAATTATGCATTTTTTTTGTGCTTAGAATGTCCTTTTTGCCCTTTTTCATCTGCCTAATTTCTATTCATCCCTTAAGTCTCAGTTTAAGTACCTTCCTCCCTAGGAAACCTTCACATTAAGCCTCCAGCTTTTGCATTGAACTAAGTAGCCCTCTGAGTTGCAGGAGTGCACAGCATAGAGCATGATGTCAAAACGACCTATTTGTATGTCTCTCCCTCCAAACAATAAGCTTTTCTGGAACAATGACTCCCTGTTCAATTTTTTTTATGCAGGCTTTCACATAGGATATACTTCATAAATAGCTAAATCTCTAATTTCTTATACACATCTCAAGTGAATCTTATTAAAAAACTTCCAAATGTTATCATTGAATAGGATCTCTAAATATATTCACAGATAACTTCAAAAAATGAAAATTTACTCCCATTGAGAATATTAAATAGAATATGGTGCGTACTTCAAAGGCAATGCCAGAGGGTGATTTTAAAGAATTTTTGAATTCTGGTTTCACTGTGGCATTGAGCCTAGTATCTCCCCCAGATGACCAATTTGAAGGAGTAAAAAATTTGTATGTATGTTTAAAAAAGTAAAAATTTTGTTTTGGTATTCATCTTTTTAAATAATTATACCAACATTCAAATCTAAAGAAGTATGATTCAGAGCCTGTGACAAAGTAGGACTTCAATAGAATAGGATCAAACAGGGAGAAAAGAATAGTTTTAATTATTTAAAAATGCATGAATTATCATAATAAAAACCATGTATGTCCCTGAGGTTGTCGTCAGAATCTAACATCCATTCTTGAAGACTCTTCCCTTTTGTCTGTCTTTTGTCCTGTTTTTCTCTGTGCACACACAGAGACACCCCTACCTTGGAGATACGGTCTCTCTCACTTGAGCAGGCATGACGCCCCTACAGAATTTAGAAAGAGTGTATTTAAGAGGACTGCACAGCTGCAGCATATGGTTAAATAAAGACTAAAAACTAGTGAGGTTATAAATCATCTGACAAATTGTGCATCATTAATTCTTGATGCCAGTTCTAGGTAGGGGAACAGAAATCTTACTTCCTATCAAGTGCACTGTAAAAACTTTCAAATTTATTTTGATAGATCTGTGTTGTAGTAAATCACAAAGGACTCAAAACTCTTAAAAATTAAAAGCATTACAGAGGAAAGACTTAATGACAGCAGGAGACATTCTTGGTTTTTTTTTTTTTTTATATTTTGTCACAGTATATACATTTGCTGGTAAGAGACGTGGTTCTCAATTATCTAAAAAAGGAAAAAGGATAAAATATTTAACAAAAAAAAAGTTCTTATGAGATTATTTGCTGACTTCTATAAAACCCTCACTGATGTGAAAAGATTCTGCTCACTGCCAGATGTGCAGGTTTCTGGTGCTGTTCTGCAGCTGAGTGTTCAGTGGGAGAACTGCCGCATCAAAGTATAACCCCCTTGAGATAAAACGATATACCCTTTTGCAAAGACACAGGAGCATTTGGGGTATGTATAAATTTCTGTTTGTTTTTAAAGGGACTGAGTTTTCTGAGGCTAGTACTATATGCCAGTGGTTGGTAGTTAGTAAGGGAAAAAATCAGCTTACTGGTTATTTTCTATAGATCAAACAGTTATGGTGGTTTTTCTGATTTCTTAAACCTTTTCCCTAGTTGTATTGATTGGGGTTGATCACCGACAGTCTCATATAAAATACTCGTTATATATTGTGGATTATATAGATTCATAGCAGTGTCGTAACTAATGGATTTCCTTGGTTTAAAGTCTCAGTATTAAGAAAAAACATTGGCTGTTAGTAAGAAATATCCTTTCACTGACTTCGATTTTCAGTTTCCTTAAGCTCAAAACTCAATGCTTAAATTTTCAGAGGACTTTTAGTCTTCGTGGGATTCATTTCAGGGTCTTCACTTTAAAGAACTATTTTCACATGAGAAAACTCATGTGAAGACGAGCTAATTTTCCAAATTACATCCTTAAAAGGGAAGAAGAGGTGATCACTGCAAAGTGCATCTTCCCTTGGCCCTGATGATGCCTCACAGGGAGGAGGGAAGAGGCTGCCATGGCCAACAGTGAACAAGATCATCTGCTAGTGTAAATATAGGGTGGCTATGGAATGAGTTAGTATCCCACATGAATGGCTTTCTTTTTCACTGCAATACAGTCTTGACATATTACAGCAATTTCTTGAGTTTATTTTGGGGATTAAGTACAAATGGCAATGCAAACCTGCTACTGGAGTCTGGTTCCCAAAGAGACCACATTTTGCGTTGAAGTAATACACAGTAGAGAAATAAAGCTGAGTGAGTAGAATGAAATCCTTCTTTGAGAAAAGTAATCGGATCCCTAAGTTATTAAAGTTTTCTGACTGCTAGGTTTTTGATGAGCTTATTTAAAATCTATGGGGGGAAAATTAGCAGCTTAAAATGCTGACAACATGAAAAAACAGTGAGAAATACTTGATTCTTCAAGGACTCCTTCCCTCACCCCCCAAATAGTTTGATTTTTCCTATTTATCTTCTTTGTCTTTTGATAAAAATAAGAGAGCCCTTTGAGAGGACAATTTTGAGGTCTTAATCCATACTTCTTTCCAGTTTATCTTTTACATTCAAAACAAACACCTTTGAAAGAATCCTTTATGGTCTGAGAGAGCTAAAAATGCTAAGCTTAGGTATCAGCAGCTAATTAGCTTCACGTCTTGGGGGACTGTCAATGAACTCCATCTCCTGAATATTTATTAAAGAGTTTGTAAAGAAAAAGCTATTTTCAGAAAACTGAAAGCCTATGGAATATTCTTATATCAAGTCAATGGAATGGGAAGGGTAGTGTATGTTGGCCCATCTCAAACCCGCTGTACTGTAGATTCCAATAGTAAAACTCAATGTCTACATTGTAATGAGAACTTGCTGTATCGCTCTCATGTTAAATGCTACTTTTATTTCAACATCTTAATCTACTTTTCCTTTTGAAGAAATTTCATTATCTGCCTTGCAATTCCTGGGCCAGTTCTAATGTTCTGGAATCTCAGCAGCCCTTTTGTTTTCTTCTTGTCCTTGTGTGCTACCTGGGGCTAGGAAAGTGTGCCACCTGCGTCTTAGGGGACACCTACGGGTAGTGAGTTGCTGCGCGTGAGAACCTGAGACTGTGTGGAGGGGCAGCGTGCTCTGCTGCAGACCTTGTCATTGCAGAGTTTCATTCTGCTGCCCCCTCTGCTACCACTCCACCCTCTCAAGGCCACTGCTAGTGTCTTCACTGCCTTCTGCACGGTTCGCACTGCTGCTGCGCCAGCACCACTGCCACCCACACCGTGGCTGTGACTGCCATCCATTCCCCACCGCCCCAGCAGCTGCCTTCGCTGCTCTGCCAACACTGCCGGCAGTGCCCGTGCTGCTGCTGTTCTCTCCTTATACCGAGGGGCGTCTCTTCTGTCCCTGACTTTGACAGAAAGGCGGAAATCATCAAAATGAAACTCAAACTAGAACAAAACTGTTCCCTGGGGTTCATGTGGCCTACCTACCATTCTTCCTGTTTCCCTGATCTGGGAGCCCAGAATTCAGGGAATCTCAGGATCTCAGGTTTCCCATAATCCTTTTATTGGACTTTGGCCACACCTTCTGACAGCCTGACAGGACACTGAGAAGGGTGAGCACAGGAAGGAGAGTCTCAGAGAACGACCTTACCAACAACTGAATTCAATTAATCCCATGTAAGCTTGAGATAACAACAGGGTTCTTGACATGCCCCCCACCGACAAAAGTGATGAAGAACAAAAGGCAGATATCGTAACTGTGTCCATCAGGGGCTTGGGGGAGTACTGTGGAGCAAAACCACTAAAGCTAAGTGCGGTTGTTGTTGGTTTGTGTTTGTTTTTGTTTCGTTTTGTTTTGTTTTTGAGAGATGGAAAATTTAAGCTCAAGTTGAAGTTTTAAAGTTGATGGAGATAATAATAGCAATAGGAAATCAGAAAAAGAGCAACTTAGGACATAAGTAGAGCCTGAGTTTAACTATGTTAGTTTTTTGTTACCAGTGGAATGTAAGGGTAAATATATCTGGGAGGATGTAGGAAATTCATAGAGAAGCTGGGCTAAAGATATAGATTTGAGGAAAATTTAAACAGAGGTGACACCTATAACAGAGTGGGCAGGACTATGAATGTAGGGAGGATAAAATAAGAAAATCTAAGGAGAGAAATGTGGACTTGCTATATTTATATGGAAGAAGGAAGACAACAAGTGGGCAGAAGAGCAGAGTAAGAATAATGGAGGTAAAATCGAGATTGTATGCACCATCATGGAAATTTATTAGAGGAGGAGAGAGCTTCCAGAAAGGAATAGCCATGATCAAATCATATATACACATCAAAAGTGATGAAAACTAGGGTGAAAACTATTTGATAATTAAAATGTCACAATTCATTTTGAAAGAGCAATTTAATTTAAGCAGTGGTAACCAAACCCCTATTACAAATAGTGGAAGAGGTGAGTTGATAGTAAGGCAAGTAGAGTCCACCCACATATATTCTATCACTCTGTCAAAAGGTTTCCCAGGGTTCTTCAACAACATTTACTGTAAGGTTATACCAACATATTGTAAGGTTATAATCACATAAGTGTGCAAAGATGAAGGCGAAAAAATTCTGTATTGCAGTATTGTTTATAATGAAAATTGGGCACACAATTTAAATAGCCAACACCAGCCATCCAGTTAAATGCTCATACAATCAGATAAGATACAACCATTTAATGACAGAGATTTACTTCTATTGACCTGGGAAGGCATTTGTGATCAATATCAGTAAATGAAACATACATTTAATTTTTTATATTTTCTAATCTTTAAATGAAATATGGTTACATTTTTGTAATAATGGGAATAAATGCAAGGAAAGAGAGATAAAATAGTGACATTAAATTATTTGAAGGTTGAGGAAAGGATTGGGGCTAGGGAATTGGGCATGGGTCTAATACAGAATAAAAGGAAAGAAGAGTGCGTGACAGATTGAAAGACTGAGTGAGGAACAACCTGATGAAGCAAGATTCTGGAGGATGTGCAAAGGGCTGGAATTAGAATGGGTTTAATTCCAGAAAGGAGGAAAAATTCTTCTGAAGTGGAAGGGGAAAACAGGATGGCTAATTGTAGAACAAGGTCTTTATATGGATAGATAAAAAATTGCAATAGCTTATATCAGATGGCCAACATCCTTTAAAAAGAAAAACAAAACAGTTCAAGACGAGTCATGAAGTAAGAGGATATGTGTGGGGACTTTAGAAAAAATGGTGAAATTCTAAAACAAGCACAGAAATGCAACAGAAAGGCTGTGAGGGGGAAACGTTGCGCGCGCAATGTCAGGAGTCCAGCTGCAATTGTGCCGCCTGAATTTGTGGTGTAAAGTTTTGTTTTAATCTCGTATGTGTTAAAGCCAACCTTCTCATCTATATCAGTCTTAGAGTCTAGAAAAGTAAAGGAACACTTCTGCCCTAGTCGTGAATGATGTTGAGCTGCTATTGATCCAAGCAGTGTTTGGGAATAAAAAAATTCCTTGACAAAGCAATGTGGAAGCTCAGATACAGCTAGTCAAGCACAGAAACAATCTGTGTCATCACAAAATGCATTTTCAAGGACATAAACACAGTCCTGATGGCAGGTATTTTATTAGGTCACTAAGTTCTTCAAATTTTCTGTAACTTTAAAAATCAAACTTGCTTGACTGAGTTTTCTAGCCTTCTAGCTTCCCACATGCTTGCAATGTTTTTATTAGCTTGAATTAGAACGGGCTTTGCCTTATGAATCCGGAAGAATTGACAGAAAGGTGTTTCTCCTGCTCTCCTTAGGGATCAGGTTAGGAGGGTCACACGAGGGCGTTTTCAATATTTCTGAATTCTGTGGGGAAAAATTAAGCTGATCTAAATATACTGATAGGCGCTAATCAGCTGCCGGTGCACATTTTCATTTCCTCTCAGTTTATAGTGCACGGAATTGCCTTGGAAGAAGTACTGCATTATGGAAGAGCTGAGACTGACGGTCCCACGTCCATTCCGTGTTGTAAATGGAAAGGGCAGAGAAGGAAGCATAAAGATTAAGGAGAAGACGGAATGACTTTTTCATTCTGTCAAATGACTGTTTATATTGGGCAATACTGCAGGCTTGTAGGTTCAGCTTGAAAGTTCTTCAAATCAGAGGAGCCATTTAATATATAATAGAGAATGGTACAGGCAAGTCATTTATAAAAATGAAAACATTTCATATCTGCTTTTTTACAGAGTGAGTTTCTCACTTCTGAGACGTAGCTGTTTTTTGCTCAGATCAGGGAAATATGAACTAGTGGAGCTCCATATCTAATAAATTAAAGACAGTAAAAATACATCAGTTTGGTGTGTTCCGGTGTATATGTTTAGTTACAAGCAATTAAAAATGTATTTATTTGTATTTATGACAGTCATTGATCCCTCATATTAATAGATATTCTGTCAGATTGTAGGCTAATTTAAAACTCTGACCACTTTAAATCACACTTTTAGCCCTTACCAACAATTTTGGACTGGAATGAAAAAAATTTTATACAGGGTACTCATTTATTTTAATCAGACTCATTAATAAAGATATCACAATTTCTGTTTCAATTTTGATCAGTTAATATTTAGAATAAATTGACTTTCTCAAGGTCAAGAGTGAATTTGAGTAACTACAATAAGCAGTTCCTTTGGTAGGGCATCATCGCATCCTCTGATGCAGGCGCCCTCACATTACGGCCTGCGGGCCACATGCGGGTGTTTTTGCCCGCTTGTATTTTTACTTCAAAATAAGATATGTGCAGTGTGCATAAGAATTTGTTCATAGTTTTTTTAAAACTATGTTCCGGCCCTCCAACGGTCTGAGGGACCGTGAACTGGCCCCTGTTTAAAAAGCAGGACTCCTGCTCCGAGGCTTCTGCTACCGGTACCTTTGTCTAAGACGGCAGTGAACAAAAACGGAACAGGCAGTAAGATGAGGCAACACGTAAAGATGTCAAAGGACTGCACAACTGTGAAAAGGCCCAGGTTCAAGGTCTTCTAAGGCAGGTTAGTTTCTCTGAGGCTGAGTTTTTTGTCTGTAAAATAGGGTAGCAAACAATAACTTCTTTTTGATATTTTTGTTATTTCATTTGCTCTCCCCCAGTACAAACACCTTTATGGTATATTATTAGGAAAATTAGTTTGTATAATCATAGAATAGTACCTGTTACTTTAAATGGTGATGTCTTTGAGCATCATTTTAAAGCATTGAGTAAATTTGATCCTTCCTTAACATCGAGACCACTAGACAACTTTTTTTCCTGTTAGAAAAGCCCCTTTGGTGGTTCTGTGGCTTATGCAGCATCTTTGTAAATCCAAGATCTGTGGCACTGTCAGAGGGGGAGCTGTAAGAGGAACTGACGATTCTGAAAATAAATGCAGTGTTTGTACTAAACGTTCTTCCAACTTGTTTTCTAAGTTTACTTAGTTGAAATAAGAAAATCAGCCATTTTTGTTGATTTGTGATGACTCATCCCAATCCTATTCATTTATGCTTGGAAAATATTTGCTTTATTTCTCCTTATCAAGTATTTTTCAATCAATAGGTTCATTCATTTATTTAATAAACATCTGTAGAACACCCATCAGTCAGGCACTGTGTTAGACACTGAGACTCAAGATTTAATTGGAAAGTCTGAGTGTAAACATGAAATGACTATAGCCTGTGGTAACAGCTATGATTTACCTGTAAAAGAGCTCTTTAAACTCAAGAATATAGTGCGTAACTTAGCCTGAGGAGTTTGAGCAGGATTCATGGATGAATTGACATTTTTCTTGGCCTTAAAAATTGTGTAAAATTTAGAAGTGTGAGAATAGTTTCTGGAAAAGTACTATGTAAAAACAAGCATGATATACTCACTAATGCTAGGTAATTCTTTGTGATACATACACAGATGCAAAGAGTTTATTGAAATGGAGATGAAGTATGCAGGTGTGGTAGGGATATGGGTATAAATTATACATAAAAATTAGCAATTGATAAACTACCATATATTTAGTTTTAGGATCTTGATTCCCCAGAAACCAATAGGTTTCATTGTTTTTTGGACTTTGATATAAGACCTTATAGAAATTAAAATATTGACGACTGAATACTAAGTATATTTAGTTTGCATTGTTTGTTCTTAGTTTGTAATTTCAGGGCATAGGGCTTACCTAATAGAAGATACTGGTATAAAAGACTTAATAAATAGGTTCTGTGGGCTGTTTCTGTCCTCCTGAAATTCATAGATTGAAATCCCAACCCCTAATGCGGCGGGAGTAAGCGGTGGGCCTGTGGGAGGTAAGTAGGTCATGAGGTCGGGTCCTTATAAAAGAAGGGCCATGAGGTCTTTCTCTTTCCGCAATGAGAAGATAACCATCTATGGACCAGGAAGAGTGCCCTCAGCAGCTGCCAGACCTACCTGTGCCTTATCTTGGACGTTCCGGCCTCTAGAGCCGTGAGGAGTCCGCGCCGCGTGAGATGTGCGGCCGTGCGCATGCGCGCGCACGCGCACACAGCGGGGCACCGGCGGGACTGCGCTCGCTGGTCTAAATGAGGCCGTTAGGGCTGAAATCCAGGCTCTGCCACTTACTGCGTGACCACAGGCCCATTACTCAGCTTCTCTCAGAAGTGAATTGAATCAACCCATAACTTTTAGTTTAGTTATTTAGACTTGCAGTATTTTTCACTTGCGTCCATCCAGCGGCGGGAAGGAGCAGGCTGGCCGGCTTCGCGAGGGCCGCGGCGCGTCCCTTCTCCGCGCCGAGCTTAGTGGCGCTGCCTGGGAGTTTGAGACTGGACACAGTGGGGGCATCTATACCACGGAAATCATCAAATGCTACGGATCAGAGCTTTCTGATAGGCAGAGTGAGCTGGTTTATGATCACATTGCTGGATCTATCTTTGCGTGATCTGCTCCACTAATCAATGTTCAGTTTTTATAAGTGATACAAGAGAAAAGGATGAAAATTGATTCTGAAATGTTTTACTCTGTTTAGGGCAGTGTTGCAGTTTACAAGTACCAATGTGAGTCTAACTTGAATTTTTTTTTATGTGCCATTAATATTAAAATAAAAGCTTCATTCAGGCAAAGGTTTACTTTCTTAACATGCAGGAATTTGTGTATGTGCTGTTTTAATCAGGGATTGTTTGCAAGCAAGAAGAATTCACTCAATCTAGCTTAAATGAAGGGGAAATTTACTGGGAAAAAAGTAATACTTCAAGAAAATGAAGTATACCTATGTCCTATAACACACAGGAATGTGGGTATAAATTATACTTGTATCCCTGGATCTGGGGACTCAGAAGCTGTTCTTCCCATTTTGCTCTCTTTTTCAAAGGATGTGTTTTCAAGCCTTTGCTTTTCTCTTGATATCTGTACCATTCTTCTGGCATCCCTTTGACGATGGGCTTTCTCTGCTTACCCATCAGAATCCACATGACCCCAAATAGCCTTTCAATCTCCAACTATGTGTATATCTTCCATAAGTATCTCTCATCTCTGTCTCTTAAATGTGTTTAAACTTTTGACAGAGAGTAAGTGTCACAGTCCAGCTGTGGATATGACTTAGATGGCCATTCCTAGTTCGATCAGTTGTGGCCCCAGGGTGGGGTCCTGCAGTGTTTTGCTAGATTCAGTTATCCAAACTCACACTGCCAGTGAGGGCGTCATTCAGTGAGGCAGATTCTAAAGTAGGGGCCATGGGTTAGGCAGGCACCCCATGTGTGTTTATAATTTTAGCTAAATGGTATGCTCTCTTATTGTGATCATTGGAATCCTGATTTCTTAGATCACATTGGTGCATGGGTTACATTTATTGCTATATCTTTCTATATTTTGCAGCCTATCCAACTATGAAAAGCATTTGATAATGCTTTGTATTCATTCCAACAAATCAAATTATTAAATAATTTACTTGATTGTCATCTCACATAAGAAATGTTTTCCTTTATTTTCAAAGTGCCTTTTAAAGTCTCATATTACAAAGTGACCTAATTAACTGAAAAACTACATAATCAGCTCTTTAAAAATCCATAAAGCAAAACATAATCATAGTAACCCAAGAAATAATAAAGTGTAAATTAATAATACACAGCAGTGGGAAACGTAGCTAATAAACATTATTAGTTCAAAAATAGAAATTTCATGTTCCCAGTACTAACAAATAACTTGTCAAATTATACTTCTTTCTACATTTGGATTTATTTCTCTGTTGAAGTGAATGTGAAAAACTGCCAAAATTTAAACAATTTTCTCACCTCGGCTTTCATCATTGCCATTGTGAAATGTCATTTTCTTCTCTTTAGTGGGGATATTGAGGAAAAGCACCATGTGCATCCTTTCAGAAGAGCACATTTCAGAAGGTCGGCCAGAGGAGATGGAGATGGGAAATAAAAATCCCAATACGCAGGTTTCTTTCAAATTATGTTTATTAGTCTCATCAGTGCAAATGTCTTTCAATCCTTTGGTTTTTTTTTTTTTTCTCTCTGCTTTTATTTTACATTGTTACAATGATGATCTTTCACTTACTCTTATAAGTGTTTTTCACATTATTTTTTTTATTTCAGCATATTATGGGGGTACAAACTTTAAGGTTACATACATTGCCCTTGCCTCCTCTCCCCCTCGAGGCAGAGCTTCAAGCGTGTCCATCGCCCAGACGGCGCGGGTCACACTCATTACGCGTGTATATACCCGTCCCCTCCTCCCCTCCCACCTGCCCAGCACCCGATAAATGTGGGTTTTTTTAAACATTTTGGTTACATTTTATATCTTTGCCTCTCCCTAGCAAGGGTTAGAGGTATGCCCTTCCTCTCCACAATGCTCACCACATCCCTCCGATGTGGGACTAACTCTTCAACCCCCGAATCCCTGGTGAGCACCACCACCCTTTGAGCACCATAGTGTTAATCAGTCAGTACCAATTTGATGGCAAGTACATGTGGAGCCCATTCTTCTGATCTTGTGTCACCTCACTTTGGATAATGGGCTTAAGCTTAATCCAAGGTAATATAAGCAGTGCTAGCTCACTGTCGTTTCTTAGAATTCAGTAATATTCCATTGTATACATATACCAAATTTTAATAATCCACTCATGAATTGATGGACACTTGGGTTGTTTCTATGTCCTTGCTATAGTGAATTGTGAGGCCATAAACATTCGGGTGCAGATGTCTTTATAACAGAATGTCTTGTACTCTTTTGGGCAGATGCTAAGTGCTATAGTGCTATTGCTGGATCAAATGGTATTTCTATTTTTAGCAGTTTGAGGTATCTCCAAATTCTTTTCCACAGAAGTTGCACTAATTTGCAGTCCCACCAGCAGTGTAAGAGTGTTCCTATCTCTCCACATCCTCGCCAGCATGTATTGTTTGGGGATTTTTTTGATAGAGGCCAATTTCACTGGGGTTAGGTGAAATCTCATTGTGGTTTTGATTTGCATTTCTCTCATGATTAGTGATGTTGAGCATTTTTAATATGCTTTTTGTTTGTTTGTTTGTTTGTTTGCTGGCCATTATTCTGTCTTCTTTAGAAAAGTTTCTGTTCATTTCTGCTGCCCATTTCTTGATGGGGTTGTTTGATTTTTTTCTTGTTAATTCTTTTGAGCTCTAGATAGATTCTTGTTATCAGACCTTCATTGGAAGTGTAGAGAGAAAATATTTTCTCCCATTCTGTAGGGTGTCTGTTTGCTGTAATGATAGTTTCTTTGGCTATGCAAAAGCTTTCTAATTTGATCAGGTCCCATTTGTTTATTTTTGTTGCTGCGGTGATTGCTTTGGGGTCTTCTTCAGGAATTCTTTGCCTAGGCCAATGTCTGAAAGGGTTTTCCCAACCTCTTATAGGATTCTTAAGGTTTCATGCCTTAGGTTTAAATCTGTTATCCATCTTGAGTGGATTTTTATGAGAGGTAAGAGGTAGGGATCCTGATTCATACTTTTGCATGTAGCTATCCAATTTTTCCCAGCACCATATTGAAGAGAGATTCTTTTCCCCATTGTATAGTTTTGTCTGTTTTATCAAAGATTAGGTTACTGTATGCAGATTGTTTCATTTCTGGAATTTTAGTCCTATTCCAAATATCGATGTTTCTGTTCTTACACCAATTCCTGGCTGATTTAATTATTATTGCTTTATAGTACAGCTTGAAGTTAGGGAGACTGATGCCTCCCAGTTTGTTCTTTTTACTTAAGATTGCTTTGGCTGTAGAAATGCTCAACGCTTCGCAAAGTCATGGAAACTAAGCAATCTATTATTGAAAAATTATTGGGTCAAGGAGGAAATTCAGAGGGAAATCAAGAGTTCCTTTGAACAAAATGATAATGGAGACACATGTTACCAGAACCTGTGGGATACAGCAAAGGCATACCTGAGAGGAAAACTAACAGCAATAAACGTTCACATCTGAAAAACAGAAAGCTTAGATACTGAAAACCTAATGAATAGACTCAAGGAATTGGAAAAAGAAGAGCAAACAAATTCCAATCCTAGTAGAAGAAAAGAAATAACTAAGATCAAAGCAGAACTAAATGAAATGGAGAACAAGATAATTATACCGAGGATAAACAAATCCAGAAGCTGTTTTTTTGAAAAGATAACAAAATTGATAGCCTTCTTGCTAGATTAACAAGAACTCAAAGGGAAAGGATTCTATCTAATAAACTCAGTAAGAACTGAAAAAGGAGAGATCACAGACACCACCACAGAAATACAAAATATTATGTTTGCCTACTATACAAAACTATATGCCCCATAATGAGGAAGAAATGGACACATTCTTGGATTCCTACAACCTCCCTAAGTTCACCCAGGAGGTAACAGAATTCCTGAATAGATCAGTCTCAAGCTCAGGAATTGGAGCAGTAATTAAAAACCTCCCCTAATGGGAAAGTCCCAGACCAGAAGGCTACATTCCAGAGTTTTACACAACATACAAAGATGAACTCATGCCAATACTACAGAAACTATTACCCAACATTGAGAAGGATGGTATCCTTCCTAACTCATTCTACAAAGCCAACATCACCTTTTATTTATTTATTTATTTAATTTTATTTTGGCATATTATGGGGGTACAGATTTTAAGGTTTCAATAAATGCCCTTTCCCCCCACAAGTCTGAGTTTCCAGCATGACCATCCCCCAGATGGTGCGCATGTCACTCATTATATATGTATATACCCGCCCCCCTCCCCCCTCCCACCTGCCCAATACCCTATTACTGTAGTACCTATGTGACCACTTAGGTTTGCCCGTGTTCATTTTAATACGGCCAATTTGCTGGTGAGTATTTATGTGGTGCGTTGTTGTCTGGCCATTCTTGGAAAAGCATTCAAGCTGTAATAAGTATAAGGTTTCCAGCTTCTAAACCAGGAAATATAAAGATTGTGGCTAATGTCAAAGCCACCATTGTTCTTAGAGCGTGAATAGTACGTAGCGATGGGTAAATACCATATACTGCCCACATTTTTATTATCGCATTCTTGGA